AAGCGGTAACGTGTGTGAAGCGGTAATGTGTGTGAAGCGGTAACGTAAGTGAAGCGGTAACGTCTGCGAAGCGATAACGTGTATGTAGCGGTGTGCGCATACATTTTTCTCCAGGTCTAATATCTTTGACGAGTTGAGAACCTTCTCGCGGAGCTTCTGGTTCTCCTCGAAGGTCTCTCGAATGACTTCCAGCGAGGGGGACATGTACTCCTGCACCTCGAAGGTTAGGTCTTGGTTAAACACGATGGCTGCCCCGAGATTCTTAATTTTATTGCAATAATTCGACGCGGAAAACAACGTAATGCACTTGCCCTCGTGATGACTCTCAATGCCCTTCAAAGTTTTAGGCACTTGATGAGAGCGAATTAAAATGTCAAATTTATTTTTCTTCAAAAACATGTCAGTGATGTCTGGGCCGAAGGTGATACAGTTGTTCCCTCGTGCGTTTCCTCCAATTCCATTTTTTTTTTGTGGATCAGACCAGAGTAAATCGAAGATGATGGTGTCCTCATATTTTTCCGGATGCAAAATTTCATGCTTCTTTCTGTCCAACTCATCTATCTCCTGAACGGTCAAATCTTGGTACCTGCTCAGCCCGCCGTGCACCACGAATATTTGGTCTAAGGGGGGGGGGGGGGGGAAAAAAACAATGTGACGTTACGTGGGGGGGGGAAAAAAAGGAAGGGGGGGAAAAAAAAATTTGACAAAAAAAATATTAACAAAATATAAAAAAAAAAAAAAAAAAAAAAAAAAAAAAAAAAAAAACTGGGCTACAGCACAAGTTTTGTACTTGTTCCTTTTGCTTCCTTCATGTAGGTACACGTGAAACACGGGTAGGAAGTAAATTTTTTTTTTTTTTATTTCCTGCGCAGTTAAGTAACGGAGGAAGTGGCCCTAGAGGACTGCGCCCCCCCCGCCGAATGCCAAACGAAATGGAGAGGCGGATTTCCGTTCCGCGTCATATGTAGTACACTGGCTTGAAGGAGTTTAAAAAGTCGACGTAGTCTATCTTGTCGTCCGTCTCCACGGTGTAGGACAGCAGGTCGATCTGCTCGTCCGTCAGGGGCTTTTTCCTGAAAAAAAAAAAAAAAAAAAAAAAAAAAA